ACAAGATTTTGTCTTTTAAGAATATGAGCAAAGGTATATTGATATCACACTCGACTGGGACAAAACATCAACTGAAAATAGAGAAATAAAACTGGTCAGAAAATTGTCTGTTGCAGATATCTTTGGTGCTAGTTTTTTTTTCTTTCTTGTTTGCAGTTTCAATCATTCAATATAACTGTAAACCTCACACAGATATTTGAAAATTTTGAATGATTCACTTAAAGGAGAATATATATGTAGTCTAAATCTGTTAAACTACCATTTCTTCTTGAAGTAATGTGAAAGTATGAAAGACCCATTTTCTTACATGTTTACAGGTGTGAGATTGTATACAACATTTCTATGAGGAAGAGAAAATGTGTTAAGATGGTCACTCTTGGATTTGCATTTCATTTCCTTAAGGCCGTGGCATAGCCTGGTAGTTAGGGCACTCAACCCTAAATCTGCAGGTTGTGTGATTGAATCTTGGTGCTGAGCTTGCAAACAAATGGAATGACTCAGACTCTAAAAAGACATCATGCAGACATAGTTACCGGCTTAAGTTTAAATTGTTCACAAGAAATTTCAGTTAGTTCGTGTCATCAAACCAAGGAAAAAAAACTTGAACCTAATGTCAGAATTTCCTGAAAGGATGAGTTTAAATCAAAAGGTGCTTTATACAACTTGGAAATGGAATCATGCAAATGAGGAACTTCACAGTCAATTTATGAGGATTGTATTTTGGAGCTATACTGTGAATAAGAATTTTGAGGTGATTTAGATAGTGATGTTTGTATTGGGATGTATGGTATCTTAGTGATTTAATGGCTGTAGAAAAAATTGTTTTCATGACATATTTCTATTCAGAGGTGATGGTTGGTGTCCTAATCCTTTAGAATGGAAATAAACCAGATTCATTTAGAACATTTTTAACATTAGGATGAAAATAAACCAGATTCATTTAGAACATTTTCTTCTATACATAGAACATAGTATATCTACTGTAGTAGTGTTGTACAGAAATATGTATCCCACTTTGTTATGGTACATATATTTAACATTAGAATGGAAATAAACCAGATTCATTTAGAACATTCTCTTCTAAACATAGAACATAGTGTATCTACTGTAGTAGTGTTGTACAGAAATATGTATCCCACTTTCTTATGGTAAATATATTTAACATTAGAATTGAAATAAACCAGATTCATTTAGAACATTCTCTTCTATACATAGAACATAGTGTATCTACCGTAGTAGTGTTGTACAGAAATATGTATCCCACTTTCTTATGGTAAATATATTTAACATTAGAATGGAAATAAACCAGATTCATTTAGAACATTCTCTTCTAAACATAGAACATAGTGTATCTACTGTAGTAGTGTTGTACAGAAATATGTATCCCACTTTCTTATGGTAAATATATTTAACATTAGAATGGAAATAAACCAGATTCATTTAGAACATTCTCTTCTATACATAGAACATAGTGTATCTACCGTAGTAGTGTTGTACAGAAATATTATGTATCCCACTTTCTTATGGTACATATATTAACATATAGTGTTAGATATTTTTTCTAGAGTTCTGGTCCATAACCTAATTAATAAATGCAGTCTATATCATGCAAATTTCACTCTTAATTGCCAGCCTTTATTGCATTAATAATTTAAAGATGTTATCCACTGTTTTATGGGATAGTTGTATTGAATCAAACATCACATATAGTTTGAGGTTATTTTATGACTGTCACATAAAAGAAATATACATTGAGTTTTCAAATTCTGTGGTCAGCTAAGGAGAAGATGTGGATTGTGGAAATAGTTTTGGCCTTTTAGACAAATTTGTTTTTGCCTTCAAAGAACCAAAACTCACTAGTAAAGTCTTGCCTGCATTTTTTTTTCTTTTAAGCTGTTTTTTCTTTTCCTGTCAGTAAATATGTAGGCCATCATATTTTGTTTAATATTTCAGTATTAGGTATTTAGAAATATGAGTTTACTTTTGTTTCAGTAAATACATTCATGTTCAATTAAGTCTGGAACAAGTTTTTTAATCCAATACACTTGCCACTTTTTGCAGCCAGCTTTTACTTCACCCGCGCTTATGCAAATTAAGTGTTTGTTTTTACTTCTCCTTACATTAGAGACAAGTGTTAACAGTAGTTGAAAGATCATCATGAGTGAGTGACACTGCCATGCTTTATGTCCTTACATTAGAGACAAGTGTTAACAGTGGTTGAAAGATCATCATGAGTGAGTGACACTGCCATGCTTAATGTCAAGTTGTGTTCTCAAGGAATGGGACTTAATCCCTCAACACACCTTTCAGGAACTTGTAGATATCCTAACTACTTACATAAGTCAACTATAAAGAATAGAAGCATTTCTAATTGATGCAAAAAAGATTACCATATTTTTCGGTGTATAAGACGCACTTTTTTACCCCAAAATTTAATGTCAAAATCTGCTTGCATCCTATACACCGAAGGTATGAATAATTCATATGTATATATATATAC